ATTAACCTTCAGGGTGGATATAGCTCGATAGCAGCCTCACACTGAGGACCTATCCATGTCATCATTTACCCAGAATGCTTTGTGTTTAAATAAAATGGCCCCATCCGTGTAATATATTTTTAAACTGTTAGTTTAAAAATTATAAAAACTAAACAGCATACAATATTTTTACAGTCTTTATTGTACAGTTAAAATATATGTTTATTAAATAAAGTTTGTTACAACTAAACATGGGTCCCTTTAAATCTTAAAAACTGTCTTGAATAGTTTACCTGTATGTAGGACAGTAATAAAGTTGTAACACAAGTTTACATTATTTGATGTTTTATCTCCCGTGAAGCACCCATGACTGCAGTTTTTGTTAGTGATCAACCTCTCAGGCCCTGTTTTATTTATCTGTAACTTAAAGAAATGCACAAACCAGTGACTAATTCAGTCGATACTCTTGCGGATCTAATCCAGTTAACTGAGTCACACTTTAGATGATTAAATCAATAACTGTTTGTGTTTTTCACTGTAGAGCCCTTTAGATCGTGCTCAAGCATCAAAGAACAAGGGGAACAAGTACTTTAAGGCTAGCAAGTACGACAAGGCAATCCAGTGCTACACAGAGGCCATTGCTCTCTGCCCCACTGAGCAGAAGATGGACTTATCAACGTTTTACCAGAACAGAGCCGCAGCCTACGAACAGCAGGTCTGCATCGTTTTATCAACTCTGTAGATTTTTATTCGTTAAATTCAGTCAGTGTGTTTTAATGATGGAGGAAAAGAAAGTGTGCAGAAATGTTTCAGTTGACTATCTTTAATAATATATTAACTCCAGCTATGTTTAACTTAACTTGATGCTGGAACATTTTAGCTACAATGTCTAAACCTGCAAACTGAAAACAGATAGTGGTATTTGTATTCTGTTTAATGTGGTGAACATTTGTTTGGAAAGCATCAAATCCTTGGATTAACACATGACTGCTGAACTGTCACTTTAGATGAAATGGACCGAAGTGGTCCAAGACTGCTCTCAGGCTGTACAGCTGAACCCACGCTACATCAAGGCTCTTTTCAGGAGGGCTAAAGCTCTAGAAAGACTGGACAACAAGAAGGAGTGCCTAGAAGGTGAGACTTTGTTTTTGTTATTTTTTAAACAAGTTTGACTCAACCGGACAATTGACTTTTGTTCTGTTTTTTTGTCAGACGTCACAGCAGTGTGTATACTTGAAGCCTTCCAGAACCAGCAGAGCATGCTGCTTGCTGACAAGGTTCTGAAACAGTTGGGAAAAGAGAAGGCCAAAGATAAATACAAGGTAGGATCTCAAACTAATATTTAGGGCAGGGATGCCCAACCTTTTTTGAATCAATAGCTACTTTTGAATTCGGCAGTTTGCCGAGAGCTGCTCGTCCAGTATCAAAAAAACATAATATGGGGGACTTCCGGGGACACCATCATGGCCGCAGCTTAAGAGGCGAGCTCCTCGACCCAGATCGTTGTAAGCCCGAATAATTTGATAATTTTTCAACGAAAAGTCCGATAGATAATATTTAAAAAGGGGCATTTACTATGACTAGAGGGAAATACGGCAGAAAGTCTCAAAAATCCGAGTTAGACGACGGAGAAGTCGACGGTAACGAAACGCTAGCTTTGAAGCTAGCTGACTCAGCTAAAAGAGCAACAGAGGACCCGGAGCTGAAGGTAAAGACTCAAACCAGAGACCCGTTCTGACTTTAACATGGCTAATTAGGAAACGATTCTCCAGGACCTGAGAGACTTCCGTACAGAAAACTCTGACGCTCTAAAAGGAATTAAGGAGGAGATTAAAGTAGCTAACAGCCGCATTGATAAAGCAGAGGACCGGATAGAAGAAGCGGAGGAGCGTTTGCAGCACATTGAGGAAGCTACAATGGAGCTCCTGGAGCTACAGAAACGGTTCGAAACACGGCTTGTGGATCAGGAGGGACGTTCAAGGAGGGAGAATGTGCGGATTCATGGACTCAAGGAGGGGGCAGAGGACAGCTCCGGTACGATGACGGAATTTGTTGAGAAACTTCTGAGAGAGAAGCT